AATAAACAATCTGGTACATTCTGGTACCTACTAGGTACTCGCCGTATTGTGACATGTTACATTGTAAGCAACTTGCTGGCATTTCTTATTTGACTTTGTATATCCAGTAGGCATTTTAGTGAGGGGGAGCCTGGGTGGCTCAGTCAGTTAAGTGTCTGCCTTTAGCTCAGGTCATGATCCAAGTGTCCTGGGATCGAGTTCTGTGTCAGGCTCCTCCCTCAGCATGGAGTCTGCTTCTCCATCTGCCCCTCCTCCCTGATTGTGCTCTCTCTTTTTCTCTCTCAAATAAATAAATAAAATCTTAAAAAAATATATTTAGTGAATGATTACATAACACTTTATTTTTAAATAGGTCTTAACTCTTCAGAGAGTGCCATTGTATGCACAGTCTTATGTAAGGAAAAGATAGTAAAAATGTAAGAGAATGACCAATACTCAATTCCAAATAAATAAATATGATTGAAAGTTTGATAGAAGAAGTCTCTTGACAGTAATCCTGAATGTTAACAGCTCATTTTCTTATTCACAGAGATTCTTCAAATTTAATACATTTCTTTAGATAGCTTCATTTAAATAATAAAATAAAATACTAATAAAAACTGTGTACACATAGAGATTTCTAAGACATATCACCAGGTTGGTGAATGGGCACTTTTGGGGTAAGTACAGTCAACTAAAGACCACCTATTTATATAAATGTAGCCTAATTTCTCCATATTGCCTTCAAGGATATTTTCTGGAAGGTCTGAAATCCTAGTCAGTGTTTTGTGCTAACGAAAGAGGAAACTGAGTTTGCTCTTGGTGAACCTATGTTAGTTCCCTATGATCATCCTTTTTTTTTTTTTTTCCAGACACACATCAACCATTTTCTGGGTTATGCCTCAATGCACCAAATTGGACGTGTGGAGATGAGAAGCAGAGCTTTGCTTGAAAACATTTTCTTAACCAGTGCTTTTCTGGGATTGCTATTATCTATAAAACACCCTGAAACCATACTCAAATAATTTTGATGATTTTGGTGGAAACTACTAGTTTCTCACTTTTATCACCAGTGAGGCGGTGGTGGTGCGGGGGAACAGAGATGCAGGGGAGGAGAGGCAGCAGAGAAACAAGGTTAAGGCTGGAAAGGCATCCATCAACTTTTCAGAGCCAGACAACTCCCTGACCCAGTTCCTCTGTCACCTCCCTTACCTCCCACAAAAAAAGTCTGGAACACGTGGAACTTCGTCAGCATTTATATGTCTTAAATTTTATTCGGACCTTAAGAACAGGAGAGGCGAAGGGATGGGCTCCCACCTCTCTTCTTTGTCAGTGGGAACTTAGACACAGAACACGCATGTGATCTGCCCGGTCTACACAGCGTATCAGCGGTGGGATACGTAGAGATACGCTCTTTGGCCCTGTGTGACAGGGGAGACATCTTGAGGACACCACATTTCTGCTGGATGTTCATTCTCGAACTGTGGGATCTTAATAAAATAGGCACTCAGGTGCTTTTATTTATTTATTTTTCCTGCTTTAGAGTCCAGTAGCCTACTTAGTCAGTCATGTGATTTCCCAGCTGCACTACTAAAAATAAATGGATGAAAAAGAAAATTTTCTTGGCAAGGTATTCTATGTGATGTCTTCTTGAAGGCCCTCCCTGATGTAGTTACTGAGAAATGGCAGCAGCAGACCAGCCCCAGGATGAGACTCTCTCCTTACCAGCGGTCCACCCCTGAGGTACTAATATTTAATTTAAGTAGATGGCACATAAAAAAAGCACAAGCCATTGGTTTAGTGGGGGGACAAAACCACATTTATTTTTGTTATGATTATAGGAAGGAGAGTATTTTGAGAGTATATTGATATTCTTTATTTTTTTATTATATAGCATATACACATGAAGCCATTATATTGGGTCTGGATTTTGTCATTTGTGGGGGATTTGTCGATGAAGTACAGAACCCCAGAGATAAAGCATATGGGGTTTCCATCTTGTTATTTCTTTAAGGGAGGAAAATCAGATTTATAAATCTAGGGTCTATTTTTACTCAACTAGAAATAAATCCCATGCAGAATATTCTCTTTCCATCCCTCTCTTCCCTCCAACCCTTCCTTTCCTTCCTTCTTTCCTTCTTCCCTCTCTCCCTCACTTCCTTCCTCCCTCCCTTCCTCTCTGCTTCCCTTCCTTACTTCCTCTCCCCTTTCTTTCCCTCCTAACTCTTGCCCCTTCCCCTTCAACACTCTTTCATTTCAACTTCAAGTATTGATTGTGTACCTGCCACAATAAATACCAAACATTGTATTTTTGCCCCTTTCTTCTGGCAAAATACTCGATTCTAGTTTCAGACGAAATGATGATTGAAGTGTCTATATTTGCCAAGGCACAAAGCACAAAACACTTCTCCCGTTTGGAAGATCAGTAAGAAATTGTATTGGACAGTTAGGGAAACCTCCCCGTGAAATCTTATTCATGTGTTGTTTTGTATAGAATTTCTCAACAGGCGAAAAAAAAAAAAAACCCCCTCCTTTGTGAGTCTCACGTCATCTTCGACGTTCTTTGCTTTTCTCGGAGCAAGTCCAGTGAAGTTCCAATGGGACTTCAGTCGCGTTTCTTCGGCAGGACTGGTGAGGTCCCAGACCAGGAAAGAATTTTTTCTGGAGACATGTGTTGAGGCGTCCTTCGTGTGGCTCCTTAGAAACATTAACCACCTCATCAAATCAGAAACATCAAACTTCGGACACAGGGAATGAGTCAGAGTGAAAAATGACTTTGAAGGCCAAATAAGTGGTGAGGTTGAAACCCTTGGATTCTCTCAGGGTAAAGGGGTTATAGGTAAAAGGCTACCCAAGCAGTTCCCGAGTCAGGTGATAGAGCAGGAAGGGTGTTGGGGGTCTCTCTATTGCAGAGACCCCCCATTTGAAAATTCTAGGTCAGGGGATCAATTTCTTGAGGTTTATCTTTATTTGAGCACCTCCCACATTTAAATATAGAATGCCATTTGGGAAGATCCTTCTGGATCAGAGAGAACGTATTTTCCAAAGTAGTATGAGTTTCCAGAGGGGTGGAAAAGGACAGTTGTCTAACCTAGAAATGTGACCTAGATCATCATTTCCTCTGGTCTTTTCTTGATGAGCCTTTTTAAATGAGAATATGTGTGTTTGTGGCTGAGAAGTTTGTTTGTTTGTTTGTTTGTTTGTTTGTAATTGATGTGTAACTGCCATATGTTTTAGGCACCTCTGAGAAGTTCTTACTCATTAAAGATAAATGATAGATAGAAGTGTCTATCTTTCTGTGTTTCACTTCGATATTCAAAGTGCACAGGTTGTCTTAGACATAATGATAGAGGTAGGCTTTATTTCAGGAGCTTTCCAGGAGCACTCTGTCAAGACTCCCAAGAAGAAAATGTACATGACTAATTATGGAATTTCTAAATGGAGGAGAATGTTCCACAGTTAAAAGTTGTGGGGAAATTTGCTGTAGAAAAGACAGAATTTGGGCGCCTGGGTGGCTCAGTTGGTTAAGCGACTGCCTTCGGCTCAGGTCATGATCCTGGAGTCCCGGGATCGAGTCCCGCATCGGGCTCCCTGGTCGGCGGGGAGTCTGCTTCTCCCTCTGACCCTCCCCCCTCTCATGTGCTTGCTCTCTCTCATTCTCTCTCAAATAAATAAATAAAATCTTTAAAAAAAAAAAAAGACAGAATTTGACTACATAGCATTGAAATAAATAAGATTCTCATGATCACAATCTCTTTAGAGAAACAAAATTATAGGATAAACAATGAGTTGTAAAGATATTTACAGCTACCGTAGTCAAATATAATGAATCCCAATATGGAACATTCCATGCACAAATTGATCTGGAGAACAGTGAGATCTCTAGATAAATGGGTAAATGATATAAATTTAAAAATTATGAAAATAGTTAAGAAGCATGAAGGCCTTAATAAGAAATGCAAATTAAAAGTAGAGTTAAATGCTTTTTCTCCCCTATCTCCTTTTCTCCTTCTTCCCCTTCTCTTCCTCCTCCTTCTTCTCCCTTTCCTTCCCATCCTCCCCCTCCTCCTCCTTTTCCTGCATAACTGTCAGTAATTAAGCACATATGCCCAGTTGAAGTGACTGGTAGAATTTTTGTAGGTGAAATCTTGGAAGACTTACCTTGTGTTGGAAAGTCAACTCAAATTATTTGCCCTATTGATGTTGAATCTGCAGATTACTCAGATAAGAAGAAAACACATTTTTATGATAAGGGATATTGTTGAGCCAGAGATATCTGGGCGGAGAGATGCCTCCAGAGGAAAATAGTCTGTTTCTCTTTGGTTGTTAGAATAAGTGTCCTTTGGAGGCAGGGGTCTAATTTTTTTCCCCTTTATATGTATGTGTTTTAACATCATCGGTTTTTTTTCAACAAGCAGCCAAATCACAAGACTTTTTTTTTAAGACTATTATTAGCTCCTTTCTTCCCAGTATCAGTCTCACGTAGATGTTTTTTGGGTGAGTCACATTTGTAGTTTTGGATTTCATCAAATGTTGAACATTAGCTTCTCTTACCTTTTTATTGACTATAAGCTGATTGATTTCATTTGTGAATCTGTCATTGAATGTTTCTTCTTGAATTCCGTGGGACACTCATCAGCCACTCTACCCCAATGGCAGCAGTGTCTGGGGGGGGGGGAGGGGGCGGAATCCAGGCAGAGCTGAGAGCTAGAATGAACTAGTCATTAACCGTTTATGACCCAGGTCCCATCTCTCACCTTTTAAGTTTCAGGGTTCTTATCTAAAAAATAAGAATAACAATAGCCACTGTAAAAGGACATTATTAAAAATAATCCAGTGAATTGACTGCGTGGAGCTCAGAAAAAATAAAATAAAACCCAAAGTGCTCTAAAAGTATTTAATAACAAAGGACTAAAGGAATAAAGAGTCTCTCTCTAGGGCTAACCCAGCACCTTTCAAGCACTAAATTTATTTAAGCTAAATAAAAATAGCACATGACAGATTGTATTTCTGTGGGAAATCACAACAAAAACAGCAAAGACATTGGAAAATTTCATTTTTTCAGGTAATTAAAGGTCATACTATCTAACCAAACCATAATCCATCACAACTAGCAAGGCATTGATCAGTGCTCTGGACCACATGCATTTTTAATTCCATTAGTGAAATAAATGACAGCCTTTGAATTCTCTACTTTCTTGATATACAGTAATGAGAAGAGCAAATTACTCTAGAATCGAGAATAGCTGGATAGATAAGCTTCTTTCTTCCTCTTTGGCATCCCAAGCTACAAAGTTTTAAGTAGCAGGAAACATAATAGCAATCTTCATGTGTCCCTCAGGGTGTCCTCGGAGCCGCTCTTTGGTGATCTGAGAATGTTCAAAGCAAAGCAGGTCCCATGATTTAGCCACCGGGGAGCTGCAGAGACCAGGCACCGTCCCCCCTCCCACCGCTGCTCCCCTCTCCCCCCGGGCTGCCATCCCCATTCCTCTGGGGCACATGTTAGTTTCCCCCAGGCGCTGAAGCTAAGTGTTCTAATTCAGACAATACCAGTGTCCTGAAAACAGACCGAAGTATATTTCTAGGTACCTGTGTTGTAATGACTGTCAGAGAGAAACACTCAAGCAGGTTATCTGGCTTCCCCATCTTCTTCAGCTGTAATGTAGTCATTCAGTTTGTTAACTCTCCCTTTGTATTGAAACGCAGGAGAGACCACAAACTGAAAAATACACCAGTCTATTTTTGCTTTCTGTTTGTCTGTTTGTGGGAGTAATTGTTTCACACTCAGTGAACCACAAATGAGCTTGTGTTTGTATAAGAACTTTTAAGAGGACAGAGGGGTGTTATTCTTACTTCGTATGTCATGGGATGAGGGTTCCTTATGTGTGTGGGGAGATGCATGTATGTACGTGTGAATGTTTGCCGAGTGCTTCACAAATACATTCACTCTAATTCTTGTGGGGCACCATAGACAGGGGTAGTTGGTAATTGCCTCTGGGGCAAAACCAGTCTTGTAGAATGATTTCAGCTTATCACCTGTGCTCCTTCCCTACTCAGTTGTTCTCTGAATGGACCCCCTTTACATTTAAACCTTCACTACCCTCTGCCATTTTACATCGGCCAGGCCTCTGGCCACTTTTTCATATTACCTTTGATCATGTTATCCAAGGTCAGATGTTGATTCTCCTCAAGCAATCGGAGGAAAGCCTCGCCTGGAATCCACGAAGGCATCTGGGAGACCGCAGAAACCATGGCAGAACACTTCAAATGAAAACACTTTAGTTCTTAGTCCACACTCACTGGTGGGAAGTTTAAAAAGTGTGGATCTTTGTTTCCACGTGAACACAAGGGGGACAAAGCTCTCTGAGAGGCACTCACAGCAAAAAGTAACAACTAAAACAGAGGTCTGCAAACTTTTTCTGTAAAGGATCAGATAATAAATATTTTCAGCTTGGTGATCCGTAGGATGATCTCTTGCCATGACTCATCTCTGCTGCAATAGCCTGACAGCAGCCCTGAACAATAGCTCCCAGAATGAATGGGTGTGCCCTGTGTTCTAATAAAACTTTATTTATAAAGTTAGGCAGCAGGCGGATGTGCCCCAAGGGCCGCAGTTTGCCAACTTCCAACCTAAAGTGAGGTTCTTTAGAATTTATCATGTGGGTAGCAGATAGGAAAGATAGGAAAGCCACTTCATAGAATAATATGTTTTCTAGTAAAGTTTTCTAGTAATCTGGAGTGCACTGTTTAAGAGGTATGTGGAAGGCTTTCTCCCCTAAACTACTTTAAAATAATTTTCCTATGTTATTTAGATTATTCAGACAAATTCCTTGTCTGGACTACCTCATCCCCTAGAGAAGTGGGGGAGGAGATTCATGTTCTACATATTTATTGGCACCAGGTCTTTCTATGACTTCTTGAAAGACCCGAAGTAGTACTGAAAAAAAGTTGTTTGTTTATTCTAATTTAGGCCGTTTTGAGGTTATGAGGTTAACCTAGACCTCTTTTTCAGATGTTGACAAACACTGATTTACAAAATTAAGTCCCTCTTTCTCACCTCCCCATCACAGCTTGGGACACACACAAACACACACACACACACACACACACACACACACGCTTCAGTACCCAATGCATTGGTGTGTAAATAGGTGTTCAGGAATAGGCCGGCTTCCCACTTTAGCATAGCTGTTATCTTTTTCTTTGAGAAGCCATTTGCAAAGCTCAGGATACAATTTTTTTGTGTGTTTAATTATTGATCTATTTTTTTCAACCATTCTTTTAGAGCAGGCCAAAGAGATTTCTCATGAGACAATGAGAAAGCCTCACCACAGAGTACCTTACTGTAAACAAGGTCTCCAGGAAAATGTTCTATGCCTAAATGAAACCTAAATTATTGCCGTGAGGCTTTGACTACATGGGTATAGCCAGTGCGTGTATGTAATATTTTGAGAGCATGAAAAAAATTGCTAACTAGTCACTGATACCAAGTGTGGCTTGTAAACTAAGATAATGATTAAGGGGTAATCACATTTCAGGCTTTAGGGCATAAGTTGATCACTTGCAGGAGTCAGAGAGGAATTTCTCCCTCCCAGCAGAACAGTGTTATGCAAGAAGCTGAGTCCATAAGGGAGTCTGGAAGTACTCAGTACTCTCAAGTCTTGCCTGAAGCAGGAAGTCTTGCCTGGGACAGTCTACCCAGAGGATCCTCTGTCCCTTTGCATTTTTGGAGCCTGTAAGCAGATCTGTATCTCATTCTTTGTGCTGGGGAGGGCTGCGTAATTGTTTCTTTGGTTTGGCTGCTTATTGGTCTTACTCAAAATTTGCTGGGAGTGGTGATGAAATGTCCCGCATCACACATATTCTTTTGCTTTCAACCCTGATATTGAGTTAAATGAAATCCTCTTCTTAGAACATAGGCAGAAACTATATAGCAGTTTCCCAGTTACCCTCAGACAGAAAAAGAGAATAGACACTGTGCTTAATGCACCAGCTTACCTGCTGGTATCGTGTGCCTTTTTGAAAAATATTTATATTCAATATATGTGTATTCATTTCCTCCTGTAAAAGAGTGCTGAATCGTACTGTAGACTTAAGCCTTATCTTTAGTTCTACCCACCTTACCCCATGGGTAAATCCCAGATGTTGATGAGATAGTCAAAAAAGGGTAAAGAGGGGAGGCTCGGTGGCTCAGTCAGTTAAGCATCTGTCTTCAGCTCAGGTCATGATCTCAGGGTCCTGGGATTGAGTCCTGCATTGGGCTCCCTGCTCAGCGGGGAGTCTGCTTCTCCCTCTCCCTCTGCTGCTTCCCCTGCTTGTGCTCTCTCTCTCTCTCACAAATACATAAATAAAATCTTTAAGAAAAAAAATAAAGAGAGAAAGCAAGAGAAATGAAGGCGATCCTGAGGCAGACGCACAACGCTGTGGAGTGGAAGGAGTAAAGACTTCAGAGTCAGAATATCCAGTGTTGTGTGTAGCGAGGTCTCAATAAACAATAGTCACCAATTCTGTAGTTCCCTTTAGCGTGGAGAGTACATCTTCTTGGTCTTTGAATCCCAACTTCTAGCACAGTTTCCTGCACCTGGTGGATGCCCGACCAGTGTGCTTGCCAAATGAGTGACAGGGCCACGGCGGGAAGAGTGGCCAGAGGGAGAATCCAGAAGGAGGAACAGAGTTTCAAGGAGGAGGATGTGATCACATGCCACCAAAAGGTTATACAAGATAAGGGCTGAAAAGTGTCCATTAGCTGTGGCAATTAGTGGGTCATTTGTGACTGTAGGGAGCAGAGGGAGGTAGCCAATCTGGGAACACACTCTCTAGCATCCCCGTGCCTAAGCAGCAGCTGGTCACTCCCCACATCTCAGCCACCAGTGTGTACGAAGTCCTTCATGGAAAACCCAAATTTGTTTGCATCCATTGTTTCTTCTTCTGGAAACACCAGTAACATCGATTGTAATTGTTCAGTTTTAATAAACCATGAGAAAAAGAAAAAAAAAGAAAGAAAAGGTTGCTTTTAGAGACCCACAATTCCTAGGATACTTTTAGCCTATTTTCTCTGCATTTCTTCTTGAAACTGGGCAAACCACCTCGATAACACACTATCAACCAAAAATACTCTCTTATAATTTTCAGCAAGTTGGTGATAAACTTGTAAGGTGGGCATGTTTTGAGGGAATATAAAATCAAATCCCCGGGGCGCCTGGGTGGCTCAGTCGTTAAGCGTCTGCCTTCGGCTCAGGTCATGATCCCAGGGTCCTGGGATCGAGCCCTACATCGGGCTCCCTGCT